ATTTTAGAATCTATGCTCTATAAATATTATTCCAAACACAATCTTCCATCATGAAACATGGAATGAATAAATTAAAAGCAATAAATATCATTTGGTATCAAAATCTTAATTGAAGTCTAAAAAATGGCTTAAATTAAAAAGTTCTAAACGTGGTTTTGAAGAAAGAAAATAAATCTCTTCACATGAAAACACTGCGTCGCTTTGATGTGATATTAAAGACCGTGCCATTATTAAAGCAAAAGACAAATAAATTGAATATTTATTATCGTCTGCGTTATTTAAGCTGGTGGTAAAAAACATCAAATGTTTATGAAAATTCGTAAAAAAAGGGAAAAGAAATGGAATAAATAAAGAATTAAAATTTAGGAAAATTAAAATATATTAGTTGGCCTTTAATTATCGTCTGAAAATGTAGTGAAATTTAAATAAATTCTTTAATTTTTCATTTCCGTCTGCGTCATTCAAGTAGCGGGAGAAAATATCTTATATTTATTTAAATTCATGAAAATGAAATGGGATATTAATAAATGAAGAAGAATCAAAATTTTGTAATAACTTTCTAAAAACACTTAAAGCATTTTTTACTTTATCTTTAAAGAATAAAAATAGACATCATAAACGTTTGAAGAAGAACAAAAGAAAAGATGGAAGAGTTGTATAAAAAATGTCCTGAAATAAAAATTGCCTTTTTCTGATCTTCTCGAAATTTTATTTTTTCTTCTGTTCTTTCAATCAGAGTGTCGAAAATCTATTAGATTTTGAAATTAAGATCAGATTTTAAGTAGATAAAATAGTGCTACCCACAGAATTTTAACAAATTATTTATATTTTTTAATGTATAAACTATTTTTTATGGAACGAAAAAAAGCTTTATTAGCATAAAATGCAAGACTATTTCTATGATATATTTTATATTATAAATTAAAAAACATCATATATACAATATTTTGAATTGGCTGCTTTTTTTCAATTGTTTATGGAATTCTTGATTTATTATAATTAAAGATTAATTGTTTTTAATAGTAATTACTAAGGAAGCTATTATTTTATATCTATATTAATAGGTACTATTGAAACTTCTAAAACTATATATTCCTTTAGGATTTACATTTTATAAATTATCGTTTCTTTAAAAAGAAAAAAAAAATTATAATGAATGAATTAATTAATATTCATGAACATGTAATTTCTACATCATGTAGATTTAAAATGGATAAATTACGTGAAAAAATCAAATTGAAAGTTTGTATTTGTGAATTTTTACGGAGATTACAAATAAAAAATAAAGAAATGCTTGTATTAAGTAATATACAAATATTAGTATTAATTGTATTAAGCAAAAATCAACCACAACTACCCATTCTTTACACAGTTTGCTAAATTTAATAATCTTTTTTCAGATTTATGTATTAGGAAGTGAAATATATCTTGTTACACTAATTCTTTTTTAGTTTGTTTTTATCTACTAGTACGTAAATGCAGCACGTAGAACCATAATGATTCTCTTGAATAAATTCCAGAATAGTTAATTAACTTCTAATCCTTTGGCGAGTTAAATTATGACAGTGTATGATGTTGATTTAATTGCTCTCACATCTACTTAAGTTTTTTTATTACGAACTACCGGAAGTGACATTACGTTTAAGATTTTCTTCAATATTTTAGTAAAAATAATTTATACTTATTTTTTTTATCGATTTCTGATTGAAAGAAGTCGATTTCTGGCATTTTTATTTTGACTAAAAAGCATTAATTTTTACGAATTAATTGAGAAATTATAACTTAAAATCAAAAATTTTGTAAAATCAGGCTAATACAAACTAAACTAACCCAAAAAGCTAAAACTAAACTCTGATTGGTGGTACTTTTTACCGTTATTTGATTCGGAAATTTTTACAGTACACCTTCAATTTTCGAACAAATAATTCTAAAAAAAAAAAAAAAAACCTTAANAAAAAAAAAATTTGAAAGTCTATAATTTAGAATAAAAAAATTACCTAACTACTCAATTATTCCGTGAAATGCATAAGAAATATATCTCATATTAATTTAATATTTTCTTAATTTTTATAAAGAAAGCAAAAAAAACAAAACATTAAATTAAAATGCGAGATGACCACGCAGTAAAAATATTTTCAATTTTTTACGGTTTTTGTTATTAATTAAGAATAGAAAACAGTTTTAGGAAACAAATTATAACGCAATAAAAAATTATTTCAATTTCTAGCTATATTAGTGCAAAAAATAACGAAAAATTTTTCAAAACGTAATTTGCTGACAAAAAAAGCTCGGAAAACGAGGATTGAATATCACTTTCTATTTCAAAAAGTAACATTAAATATTTTGATTTGAATTTTTTCTAATAACTCTTGTAATTAACATCTTCAAAAGTACTGTGTAATCGATTGTAATTTATTACCTTTGCTAAATCAATGAGTAAGATTTCCTGTAAAATATGTATACATCTTTTACTAAAAAACTATTATTGCACTAATTTATGGCAGCCTGACGCACGCATGCTTACGTAAGGCCGTAACAGAAAAACTCAGTTTTTTTTTTAATTGTCTACCATAGCAACCACATTTGTCAATCTCCTTTAGTGGACATCGTGGTAATTCGAATTACAAGGACAGTTGTAATTCTTATTTCGTAGAATTTAGTCTTATATACACTGAATTCTAATATTTTTCTTCACAATACGGATGTTAAATAACGCTGGCTGTCACATTCTATTCGATTTCATTAAACAACGCATGTGATTTGATTTTCTCGGAATACATCAGAAAGTAAAACATTAATTACATCACCCCACATTATTCTCGAGCAATAATTGTCCAAATTTTAAAAATATTGATTTGCTTGCTAGTTATGTTTTTTTAGAATAAACCGATTAAAATAAACCGATACAGTAGTGATGGGGGCAACGACCCCTAGCATCTATCCCAAAGATACCTTCAGTTAACAATACCAAATTTAATTCTATTATTACCAAGATAGTGAAATTATAATTTTTAACACATTAATATTTGGCTAACTCAAAATATTTCAAGGAGAATGAAATACGATTTTTAAACATATTTAACGATGATTTAGGTCATAAAAATTAAAATATTCTTTACATTTAAGAAAAAGTTAAGAATATTTTGTTAAAAATAATGAATTTTTTCGTCATCAAATAATTTTCGCTAACATTTAAATAAATATGAATTCAAAGTACGTGTTTAGAATTTCCTAAATGTTGCAATTCCTTTTTTTTGTTGTTGCCCAATCCAGTGATTGCCTCATTTTAGGGCATGTAATCTAGGAGTTCGCCTCATTCCTCCAAACACCTCTGCACGCCACAGAACCAATGTTGATTTTAAACAATTCTTATAAATATTTTTATTTATTTACACTTATATTTAAATTAAAGATTTTGGTTTTAAAAGTAGCTTGATCTCCAAAAGTATTTTAGTAAGCATGTGCTTATAATACAATGTAAAACAGATAAAATAAATAAATAAAAAGTTTCACGACTTTAAAAAAACTTCTGCCATTAAATATTATATACGAATGTTTACGGTTGCACTTTAGACTTAAGCTCATAACTATTCTCGATTTTTTTTAAATTATAAATTTCACTACTAAAATTATGCCTTAGTAATCAAATTAAAATGATCAACTGTAAAATAGGATAAGTATTAAACGAATTAAAGTGGCTTCTATTAAAGCCTGAAATTATTTAATTTTATTATTTGTCTTGATATTTCATCATGCAGAGTTTCCCACAAATCTGCATTGAAATTTTTCTAGAGATTGCTAAATTTATGTCTTACTATTTATTTATTTGTTTAGAAAAAATGATTTTACCTTCTGCGACACATAAAATGTTGTTTCCGGTCATAAGGCTTTAAGAACAATTTGGCAACTTAGGATAGTGAACAAGTTCACAGTGTTAGCTCCTATTAAACACGCAACCGATTTTTAGGAAAACAGCCTATAAACCTACAGTCTAGGGTTGCAGCATATTTTTGTTTCATCAAATCAAAATTGAAAAGTTTGTCTGGGTAACATAAATTAAAAATTTTTTTTTATGACAGTAACAATAAAATTTTTAATTCACCGTTATTTGCATCTTATATTCCTTTTTAGTCTTCACTGAAATTAACATCAATTAAGTTTTTTTTTAAATTTTTCTACACAACTGTTTTGTTGTAATGGTTTTTTATATACTCCTCACTTTGTTTTGAGGTTTGCTTGAAAGCAGAACTTCACCGTAATCGAGGTACCCAGTTTTATCCCACTCTCTCCCATAGTTTTTTTTTTCAAAAAGAAAACTGGTAGTACAATTATTTCAGTGTTAGTTTCTATTTTACAACAACACGTGATATGCCAGAAGAATAAAGCTTTCCGTTTTCTTCCGTAATCATTGAATTCCGATTTTTTTTAAAACTTAAGTAATAGCTAGTTAAAATATCTACTTACATTAACGAACTAGAGCTTTCATAGCATACTTTACTCATTATTGCAATAAGTTAAATATATAATAAGTTGGTTTTAGCAGGTTAATATATGTGCCTCGCACTTGTGTTTTGAGAAAAGTAAAGTACTTATATTCTCAACAATTAGTCAACATTGATGAATCACATTCACATATTTGAAATCCCTTTAGTTAATAATCTCACACCTAAGTAGGCCAGAACCTGTAAAAGTAGCACTTTATTTACTAAGCTATTTTTGATAAAAAGGAGATTATTAACATGCCGGAAGATTTTATTAAAATAAAAAAGTAGTATCAATTGCAATTGAGTTGTAAAAAATAAGATTTAATTTCTCAATGAAGATTTAAATTCGAGTATTAAATATAATACAGCCTTATTTTGAGTAGTAAAGCATATGTAGTATTAAATATAATACAACCTCTAAGTACATCACATAAGTTAACTTTATTTAGATTACTATGACTTGGAATTTATTTTTCTTATTCTAATATTAACTGTCTCTTTTTTTTTTCGTTATAGGTTACCACAAACACACATTATCATTTGAGCCAGATTTAGAGGCCAGAGAAGAGATACAAGAAGCCAGACTTAGATTTCCTAATGCAACTACAATTAACGTTTCAAAAGAAATTGAGCAATGGAGGGAAAGCTCAAATCCTATGATTTCAATCCATTGCAGTGAATCAAAATGCTCTAGAGCTAGACTCGAGCTTTTAATGAGGAGGACTCGAGTAAAACGTGCTGTGTGTACCAACAAGTGTTGCAAAAAATCACTCAGAATTTCCTTTAAAGAAATCGGTTGGGACTGGATCGTGCAACCAACAGATTTTGAAGCATTTTATTGCAAAGGACGTTGCAAAGATATGACCGATGATTTTGCAAGCACCCATGCTCTTCTACAGAGTATTGTTAAAATTAGCGGGAAAAATATCTCGCGACCGTGTTGTGCACCAAAGAAATTACGCGGACTTGATATATTATATTATAATGATAAAAACCCACCAGAGTTGGTGCTAAGCACTCAGAAAGGGATGATAGTAAAAGATTGTGCATGTGTTTAAATGTTATCTCAATTTCAATACCCTGCTCATTTACAAACATTTCATTGACAACTGCTCTGGAAGTTTCATTTGAAGTTATTTTAAACATTATTTATTGGACTATTTCAAATATCAGCTACTCTCTGGTAGATAAAGCTGTATTTGTTGTTATTGCTTCCAGATCAACTCATTCATCCTTTGCAAGTTCAGGACAACTTGCATATTATTGTATAAATGAAGGAATATTTATGTTTGAACTTGATATAGCATAATATATTAACAATTCATGTTTATCATTTCCAAGAGCGTTTATGTCAAAAACATTGTTACACCATGGTTTTTCTTTCCATTTTTCATTGTATGTGAAATTTTTATGTAAATTAGGTTTCAAGTGATGTGAAAATGCATGTAATTAAAATAAAGTACTTATATTTGTTTTCAAAATGTTTTATCAGTTAAATAGTATAGCATACACTTTTGAAATAATTACATCAGGGATGCTAGAAGCAATGAAAAGCTAGAGGGCAAGAATAATGTTAAAGGGCCAAATGATGTTAGAAAAACGTAATTTTTTAAAATAGTGTAAAATATGCAATTTGTTTGTTTTATTTAAGAATAAAAGACAGTTTTATAAATCGAAATAGCAATATAGAAAAAACCTACTCCCATAACTGCTTCTACTAAATGTCATTTTATCTATTAAAAAACAAACAATTAGCGTTTTTTTTAAAATAAAACAACAAAGAAAAATGAAAGATTTAAAAGAAAAAAATGCAATGTGAGCACTAAATACAATTTTATTAATATTTTTTAAAGAAATGGGAAGTTAAAAGCATTTACTTGCTTTTAACTCTCTACTTTTTTTGTTTTTAAAAAAAGCAAATATTTTTTTGCTATATTTTGTGTGTTTAATTCAAAGCTTTATAAAAAGAAAGAAAGGGGATTTTCTCACAAAATTGGAAAGTGCAAAGATTTATAGATATTAGTATTTGAAAACATTGAAAAATCAGTTTACAAGTAGCTTGAAATAATAACAACAAAACATATTATTTTTTAACTTTTATAAAAGAGTAAGTTTTAAAACCAAGTAAGAAAATCAACTATTGTTTGATATTTTACATAAAAAAAATATTAGATTTTTTCTAACAGAAAAAATAGCAATGGAAATAATCTAGTAAAAATACTTGATTAACAATTTTGCATTAATGAACATCCTTCTATTGTAAAATTAACTTTAAAAACAACATAAAGTTCAAGCATGGTTAAATAATCTTTAAATTCAGTTACCATTTAATAGATAATAGAATATGCTCATAAAACATTTATAAAAATTAAGGTAAAAATTAAAAATCTTTATTTGAGCTTAAAATCATTTAAAAATAATTATGTCTTTTATTACACTAATTTGTTTAAGACAATATGGGACACTGTTTTAAATCTTTTTTATTTCTTGGATATTCAATGTGTCAATTTCTTCATTTCTCAGACCTGCAAAGCTACTTCTTAGCTTTAAGGTTATATTTATAACTTAGAATTAAAATCAGAGAACAAACAAAACAGAATTATTGATCACAAACAATTAGAAATAGGAGAAATTCTGAGACAAGCATCAAAATCTTTATTTCATCTCTTTTGACTTTTCCCATGCAGAAATAATTATAGGGGCTTTTAAATAAAATTAAACAATAAACATTAAACATCATTTATTCACTTATGTACAACACTTTGGACATAGATGTAATATTTTGCAGATGACTAGACATAAACTACAGAGCATCGAAGTCTGTAGTCCAATTTCATAATGAATTCTGGAACTTTTTTAAACAATACAATAGGTACTAAGTTTTAGAATTTTACAAACAATAACAATCAAGTGTTTCAGAAAAAAATGAAGACTAGAACTAGTTTCAAGCAGTTCTATGTGCATATAGACTTTTACATATAGTTCTAAATAAAACAACATTTAAAACAGTTCTTTGGTTTACACACAACATAAAAAAGTTGCCATCCTTAAACATTAACATACATACACAATATAATAATACTTTCTGATGATCTAGGAACACAACAAGATAAAAACTTCATTTACATATATACACACATACGTAATTCAAAAGTCAGTCAACACTTCAAAATTCAACAATTTATGGTATAATATATATAACAACACAAATATATATAGTGATACAAATTGACACAAATATATATAGTGATGAAAATTAACACAAATATGTATAGTGATAAATATTAACACAAAAACTTAAAATGACATAAGGGTATTATGCAATTCTAAAAAGAAAAGACAATATAAATCTGACTAAGAAATTATGTTGAGTTAGAAGCATCAACTGGCAGAATAGTTTATCAATGTTAGGCAACAGTAATGTTCTTTAATCAATGACAAGAAATATTTATAACAATTATAGAAACAGTACTGTAAAACATACAGATCTGCCAACCTAGAAATGCTTGCTTTCCTCAAAATTTATAGTGGTAGGAAGTGAATAGATGTTTCATAAATATCACCAGCACTTAAAAACATCACAACTGGGTTTTTTTTTAACACACATCTTTGGATTATTCAGGTGTCTTGGTAGTCAAAATAATTTTTAATATATTAAAGCATAACTTTCGCCACCACTCTAAATAATTATGAAATTTTTTGGATGAAAGCCAGAAAAATCAACAATTTATCTATAAATATCTAATAATAACAATATCTATAAATAGGAGAAAATTAATATCAGATTGCTTCTTTTAATATATTTTATTAGGTCAAATGATTGCAATTTTAAGTAATAAATGGATGGAAGTTGGTACTTGAAATGTAGCAACGTGAATGTCTTATAAAACCTTATGTCATTTTAAGCATGTATATAAGTTTTTATATCTGCACATACACTATTCTGAAATAACTGAATTTAAAATTGTCAACTGACCATTGGGTCACCCTGTATATATATTTATATTTAAATGACAAACATCCTAAACATTAACAATGATAAATGCTACAAACTGCATCACTAAGTAATCAATAAAAAATAGACATAAAAATTTATGAATAAAATATATTAATTTAATTTTATGCACTGGACGATCCTTCAATATACAACTATATGTTATTGCTATGGTAAAAGAGCGGAATGTTGTTAGCTTGGTGAATTTAGTTAGCATATTTAATAAAAGCAAGTTTTCAAATGACTAAAACTGAACTGAGATTCTTTGATGAATAATGAAACCAGGTTTTCTGTGAAAACAATGACTTTTCTACTTTTCATCAGTTTCCTCACAACTCCAAATTAATTTAGCAATTAAAATTAAGAAACTTTTTGGTAATACAAAAATCAAAAGTAATAAATTTTGCAAATTTAAATGAATAACTCAAAAACAATCTTTAACATATTATACCGCAGAAGACTTTTAAGTAGGAAGAGTTCTATAATCTAGTAGCACTCAAGCATTGTTAGAAACCATAATTCAACTACAGTATAACTAATTGTAATGCAAATAAAATTACCGAAAAAAAAATGTTAAAAACTAATTGACTAGATTAAATTATTAACGGCGTAATCACATTTTTAATAGTAATTTCATGCTCATCAGGTTTAATAAAAAGGTAATTTAATGCACAACTAAAAAATAAATGTTAATTTGTGCTTTAATCACAACGACTGGAGGAAAAAACAAGAAGGATCACAACAAAGGTGAATGCTAACAACATGAAATTATGCAATATAAATCTTATGAATATAAAAATAAACATCTCACAACAATTCAAACATGAGTAGTTTTTAAAACAAACAGAAATTAGTCATACATCATGAAAATTCAATGTAGAGCTGACACATATTATTAAGGTCACTTATATGAATATTAACAATAAAACTGTAAGTTGTAAAATACCAATGCAATTTCCGAAGATGAGCATGAATGATTTTATATACATGGATACAGGCAACCCTTAACTTTAGGAAGTAAGCCATGGAGGAAGAGAATTCTTCATGTTTGTTTCTATAAATTGAAGAAAATGTCTTGATTTTGCAACTACATTTGCAATATTAAATGCCGCAACACTCATCACCGATTAAAAAAATATATGTATATTTGTTTAAGATGCTTCTTTAATAATTCTTTTAATAAAAGCATAAGTAATTTAATCCTAAAAATATTATAATTTTGAGAAAATCAGCATATTTTTAATTTTTAAAAAATGGTAAAAAACACAGTTAAAAAGAGCATAATTAAAAACAATCTATTTTAATTACCAGTGTAGTATTAAATAAATAAAACAGTAATGTAGCTTAAAATCCTCCATATTTCATTTCTTGTAAAATTCTTGAAATTATTATATTTTGAGAAATTTGTTTAAAAAAATTACTACCATGTGAAAATCATCCTGTTTTAAATTTTTTGCTAACCATCAAGAGAAAATCAAAATGCTAAAACACTTATTCTAAATCATATTATTAGGCTTAATTAAAATGTGATTTTTCAGTAAAAAATAATCCAAAATAAGTACTTTGATTTCTAAATTAAAAAATTAGTAATCTTTAAAGCTGTAATTTGTTTTTAAAAAATAATATGAAAGCTAATCAAAGACATTTTGCACAGTGAAATATACAACTCTACATTTTCACATTCGTTTCATTGACATTTCTTAACACAGATTTCATTTGGCAAAAGAGAAAAATCTTTTCGCATAAGACTTTGCTTTGTATCGCAAATGTATAGGCAAATTAAATATGCTGCAGCTTAGCCAAAAACTGCATCACAACTACCTCAGCTTTCTTCATGACTAAAATCGTCATCATCATCGTCATCTGCATCTTCTGATGTTATGTGAAACTGAATTCTTTCTGCTGCAGCAGCTAGTTCAGATGAATGGCTGTTTCGATCTGAATCATCATCTTGATTTTTTGAATCTGGACTAACTGGAATCATATTTTGATACCAGTCACGGTTTTCTTCTAAAGTGTCCAATATGTCCTGAGCATCAGGATGCACTAGATCAGCCCATGTTTCCCATAGTGGATGGACAATATAATCAATAAACCCGACCTTTAAAAAGTGATTAGATTAAATAAAAAAGTTAAAAATTGATCAAAGATACTAAATACTAGTAAATAATAGCATAACTTACTTGTGATTTTTCAATAGTTGCATTGTGCCTATCACACATAGGGCTAATATCTAGACCTAATTCTCTTTCTTTGTCTCCTTGTTGGAAAAACTCTTCCATAATTAAATCAACCCAACTTCTATATATTTCTAAAGGTTTTGTAGGATTGCTGAGATCTGCACAATGTATCATGTTTTGTAAAACCTATTTGAAAAAAAAATTATTGCATACAAACACTATACTTTTTTTTGAATTCCAATATCCTATATAATAATAAATTAATACATATAACAACACAATACTTTTATTTGAATTTTAATACTTTACAGAATAATAAATAAATAAATATACTTGAATTCGTTCAGTATAATTGTCTAACAGTAAGACACCTGATCCAGCAACTTTTTTTGTTTCAACCATAGTCTTTAAGTCTGCTAAGAGGGACATGTGCTTTGACATATCAGTAGCGAGAACCTAATGAAAATTTAATGGAATAAATATCACAATGGCTTAGGTGCAGAAACAAATAAATAATATGAAATGCTCATATCATTGAGTTCAGAATTGTTATGAATAAACAAACACATTTTAATTGAATACTGGCAGTATTCTAAATGAGTAATATTGAAACATGATTCGTAAAAGACAATGCAACAAATGACACAATGGGACAATTAAGAGAGTGCGAGGCTAATTTTTAGTCCTCAGTTGTTTTCATTTATATAGGATTTTAGGGTACATCATCATTATTAAATTATACGGACCAATGTTTCCATCAGTGTTTAAGTTTTAAAAAAATCAATAAAAACGTAACTAATAAAAATAAAAAAAAGAGTAAAGCTTTCATTTTAAAAAATTACTAATAAAATAAACAGTAACCACAACCTGTTTTTGTTTATTATTGTTGTTACTAGCTGTTTTAATTCCAAAAGTCTGCTAGTTTGTGAACAGTATTCAAAAATTGAAAAGAATTTTTATTTTGAGGTACAAAACAAATCAACTAGTTTTTAATTAGGAGGTTCATACGTTCTGAATCAGTTATTGTCATTTATAAAATAATTTTGGGATGGAAATCCAAAAAAACGATCCATTCTTCACCATCAGTAGTCACTTTCAATTCATATTTGTAAATCATTACTTCTAAAAGAATGATGGTTTTTAAGGATTTTGAATAAGGTAATGGATATATGATCTTATTAAAATTCTTAAACAAATGTTCTTGATTTAGACTTAGGTCTTTCTGCAGTGTTTTCACTACAGCGCGAGAATCTCTCTTATTTTTTTCTTTTCTCGCATTAAAAAATTATTAAAGCGAGAAGATCGCGCACTCTATTAATCAATTTCAAAATGAGCGAATTTTGGAAAAAAATTAGTCTTCTGCCATTTTGAAAAAAATCTGTTTTACTTTTCTTCCTTGATCTTTCATTATTTTCAACATGGATCCCTGTTATCTAGCTTCCCTATTTACCAGTATTGTTCAGAACCGGTGCGAACAGCAGAACACAATGCCCCCCCCCAATGGAACACCTTTCAGAACATATTTTTCTGCAACCACGTGTTAGATTTCTTCATGTAAGACGTTTAAACTTTTTACAATGCTACAAATTTACTAAGTGATTCTGAATTAACCAGCATCTGTTGCAAGGTCATTTAGCACTCAAAACCGAATTAAGACAAAATATTGTATACAAATGACTGATAAACATTTGCGCAGCCTAATGAGAAAAGTAGATATAGAACGTTTTCCATATGATGATGCAGCAAAAATATTCAATGCTTTAAAAATTAGAAGATGTTAAAAATGTATTATAATTAAAGAAATATTTTTTTCCCAAGTCTATTCGCGTTTTTTTAATTTTTAGAAATCTCACTTAACTTTTTGAGATCTTACCCTGTTTTTGAGAAAGAGTGAGAAATTCTCTCTCATTCTTTTTCTGTAACGAAAACACTGTTCTGTTTATGTTTAGGTCTTTCTTTATAAGTTAAGATATAGGAGAAAGTTCATAATAGGGAAGCATTGCTAGCAGAGTATGACAACATCACCAGGCAAGTGTTCCTATGCAATTTTAATCCTGATGATGTGCTCTTATTTCTCTGGAATTTTTTGAAACATTTATGTGATCCCCTATTATATATAAAGCTTTTAATCTTGTATATTTTCACAAAAAATAGACTAAAAAATGTTACTAAAAACTGCTACTAGGAGAGAGAAACCAAATGAAAATTTGATATCAAGGGTACAAAATTATCCTAAATCTGTAAAACTCATGTAATAGCAAAGAAACAAACTAAAAAAATGCCCTCAGTGATATTTTAGTTCTAAATTAAAAAATTATACATTTCTATTTCAAAAGCATCTTTAAAAATAATGTAGCTTATATTATAAAATATTTAAGGGGCTTTCATAATATTTCAGACACTAATATGTATGGTAAGACCAAAACTCTGCTAGCATGTGCTAATCAGAAAGTTACTGGTGAAAAGCCTCCCTAACCCATAGTTGCAAAAATGTCTATGAATTTAGAAAGAATGTGTCCAGCAAAAAAGGAAAGGAATCAATGAATAACCCTTCAGCATTCAGTTGTGACCAAATGTTACAGGTGAATTACATTTTTGAAATAGAAAGATCCAAAACTCATTATTTAAAAAAATGTGGGCTAAAAAACAGTTTATTTTTTCTGTAAGAAATTGATTTTTAATCAAGCAAAAAGTATCACAAAACAAATTATTCCCCAAATGTAGTTTTTAAATTGCAAAACATTTTAAAATGAACTTAAAACTATTTATTGTTTAAAATAAGAATATTAAATTTTCCATTATTGTGGGAAGAACATTAACTTGTTGTAATCAAGACAAATGGTTCCCATTTGTCTTGATTTATTGATAATAGGTCTAATGTTACTCACATAGAAGACACCTAACATTATTATCTAAATTAGCCATTTTAGAACAATTTCAAAATTCTATATCGCTGTCATGTTTTCTATACTAAGTTTAAATTTCATAATACAGTTGGCACTCAATATAATGACCCCAAGGGTTCGAACAAAAAGAGATGTTTAACGCAAGGCGGCTATAGACATGATGACACAAAGCTACAGCAAATATTTGCTTAATTATAAATATTGAACTTATTTAGCGAAAAACATGCTACACATTAAGAGGAATTATGAAACTGAAAGAATACGTGACATTAACATATTTTTTTATGTCAATAAAGTGAATGCATTAATATAATACATTAAAGGCTAAAAATACAATCAATTTCAAATACAATTTCAAATGAGATCCCTTAATATTACTTATTATTTTCATACAGTCAATCAGTGCTTTTTATCATTGAAAAATCACTCATGTCAGTGATTTTCAAATTTTCTTCCACGAGAATGATGGCATGAAATTCGAACACCTTGTTCTCATGTTTTCAGAATTACATCACAATTATTAATGATTATAAACAAAGTGGCTTTCAGAATTTTAATTATTTTAAGAAATTTACATTTTTCAAGTAATTGTTCTATCCACTTCCTTAAAATTTTTCATTTCTGTTCAAAGAATGAAAGGTTATTCTGTTTCCAAAGAGCTGTTATGTATAAGTAAAAATAAAAACAAAAAGAATGTGAATAGTTTGATTAACTCTAAAATAAACCATCTCTTACAACATTCCCCAAAAAGAGAAAATACTCTTCTTATATAAGTAAAATGTAATTGATGAATTTAAATAAACCTTGGAAAAGAAATTTTCAAAGATTATGAATGGATGCAAGAAACTTCAAGATGGAACCAATATGTCGATACAATATACATTTCAAATTCTCAATAATGGAAAGTAATCAATATTTCACAATCTTTTTGGTCACGGAATATTCCCAAAATCTCCTAAGTTAAGATATGGAGGTCTTGTAACTTTTTCTTCATTCATAGATACTTGTTTATAGAGTGGTAACACCAAAAGAAATAATGATTTGAATAAATTCCTCCAAACTTTTCTAAACCTACTGATTTACGGTCAATCAAAAAATGTTACTTTTCAAAGTGCAAAAATGTGTAACACCTGTTTTTGAAGTGAACTGGAAATTTAATAAAAAAAGAAAAACGTTTCGGTTGCTATATTGGAATAAAAGGTTTACTTTGGACATTTTAATGGGTGTTAAAATAACATAGTATCTATGGAAGGGCAAATGGGACCAGTTATTATAATAAGAGGGTCACATGGAAGAGTATAGACTGTAATAATAAAAAAGAAACAGTACAGTTTTTAAAAAATTCATTATTGTATTTATATGGAAATATAAGAAAAAAAAATATTTTTATTTATCAGTCCATATATTAAGGACTAATAAATTGGACTCAAATTACAAAGTGTATTTTTTAATAAATATGTATTTTGCAACAATACTTAGATTTTATAAAATTTAAATGTACCGCAATTCGAAGAGATATGCCGCGACGTTATTGATTTAAATTATAGCAGCGCTGGAAATTTCATCATCATTTTTTCCACCTGCTATTAGTGCTTTATATTAATTTTTTCATGCTTAATGGTACTCGCACCTGGAATTGTCCACTCCCCCACAGTTGTTCGCATCCTTTTCTCGAATCATTTTCTGGAGACCGCTATCCGCAAGAGAACATTGTCTCTCTTTCTATTCTGTAGTATCACAGCTCTTGAGAATAGAGAATGGGTGTGGAGTGGAGAAGCATAAATTAGAAAGGACTGAATCAAGAAAAATCAGGGGGGTAACAGTCATGACCTCAGCTGTGAAACAAAAACTTTCTTTCCCCCTTTTTTCCAGGAAATATGTCTCTTCCACTTGTCATGGTTTTTGTCAGTAAGCATGGGATGCGTCTTTACTTCAGCTGGTTGTTAAAACATGTGAATGTTTGATGAATAAAGGGTGCGGCTGTGCTTGATATGACCTTGAATATTCTTACAATTTAAATGTTCAAGAAGAATTTCAAACTTTCAACTGAAGGTCAGTGAAGAAGGGAAAAAGCAATGTGTGAGAATTTTACTCAGGGATAAAAGAAAGACCGTCATAGGCAGAGTCAGTTAAAAAAAAAAAAGAGCTGTTTTCTGAGGCTTGATTTGAGAAGCGAAAGTAGGGGGAGAAAAAGGGGAAAATAGAAACTTGTTTTAAATGCTTGGGAGAGTGCTTTTTCTCTCTTTTTTTTTTGTATTTCTGTTTTAAGAGTTCGATAATCTCCTTCCTCAGCTTATTTTTTTTATTTTATCGTTTAATCTTCAATTATGATCGTTCATTGCGTTTATGTTTTGTTAATATATTTCTTTCGTTAATATTAATGTTTTGTTAATACCATTTTTCGTTAATTTTGTTTCGTTTATACCATTTTCGTTAATTTTGTTTCGTTTATACCATTTTCAGTAATTTTGTTTTGCTTTAACTGTTTTTAATTTAAATTTCAATATAGCTTGTTTTTAAGTTTAAATACCTCCCATTATGAGGAAAAATTATACAGCTGCGTTTAAGCTGTCAGCAATTTAAAGAGAAAAACAAATTGTGATAAATGACTTCAAAAAGAGAGGAAATCATCCTGGGACAAAACGAAACCGAAAATGATGCTGAAAGTGTGATTGACGGATAAACAATGAACTAATAAGCCTATTTTGCTTCGATAGGAGAGTTCTGATTTTGAAGGATTTTAAGGGGAGTGATATGTATATATAGTGATATCTAAATGAATTATTCTTTAGTTTTTCTCTGAACACAATTTGTTTGGATTTATCGTTTCCATCTAAAACAAGATTTTGGATTGCTGATTTAAAAGTAAGATCGTTTCATTTTTATTTTAACAATTTTAATACTTATTTTAATGGCTTTTGATATATTAATTATTTTATTCATATTTTAAGGGTTACTTCAAATTAAAATTAGAAAATGCTTAATTTTACTTAGAAAGTTATTGAAATACATTTTGTTCTAGGATTGTTTCTATTTTTTTGTATATTCAATATCCTTTTATTGGTTATTATTTTACTATTTAAATTATATTAACATGCTTAGTTGGAACATTTGTTAAGTCTGTAATCAATATCCGTGTCAGTATAGTAAAATCCGGTGCGGTGTGTTTGACGGTGCAGCATATCCAAAGAAAAGCTTATTTATCAGAATTTTTAGGGTGTGGCGGTTTCTCCACGAAATTACGTTAATAATTAATATATATATTTCTAATGATTTTTTTTAAATCAAAGTAAAATTAAAATAGATACTTTTACTTATATTCTAAAATAAACTAAATAATCAGTCGTAATTATCTCTCATAGTAATTAACTAGAAAGGCCTTTATACCTAATTTTCCGAGAATAAACTTATTATAGAGGCAGTTTTGTTATAATCTCTACAATTTTGTTTAAATTGTTTCTTTTTTGTAATGCATAGATATTTTCCACTAAACAACAAACTTTTTCCTTCGGCACTTTATAGAAGACAAATAACAGGGATACAAAACCCGTGATTTGCAGATCAAAAGCGTCCTGAAAAATCTTTTGTCTTGGGCCCCTAAACAGCATTTAATAAAAGTAATAACAATAATAATAAAAAAAAATCTTTCTGCTCTTGAAAAAAATAATATTAATTTAAAAAGTGCATTAGTTTTTACTAGTCATTCTGCTATCGTGATTTTTTTTGTTTTGGTGCAAGTTTTTGTGGTCTACTACTAATAAATGAAAAGCATTACTGACACATACAAACAAATCAATATAAGAAATGTTTAAATTGATACATCACACAGCCTTAAATTTACTGATCAAGAGTTTCTTTAACCATATTAGAGTTGTCACATATTTATTCTTTAGCACCCATTGCTTTTAGTATAATTTTGCAAATACAGAACGATGTCAAATTACAAAATTAAATCACTAAGTTTGAGGCAAAGAAAAAAAGTATAATATATATTTCATAAAAGAGAACCAATAAAGTAACCAAGTTACATAGAAATCATGAATCATATGGGCTGTAAAGACAATTGTTAATTCAAAAAGTAAAAACCTTCAAAGAGACATTAAAAATAAAATATTTCAAGTTGCAAAATGATTAAATGTTCCAAACTTAATATAATTACCATGTCAATAGCCATTTTTCTTAAAGTCTGCATTTGCTTTTTAGTTAGCTCCGCAAAAATGTTACAGTTTTCATCTTGTAAAAGTTTAAATCCAACAGCTAAAGAATGATTTTCTAAAACAGATTCATCGTTGTACATCAAAGCTAACTCAGAACCTGTGAAAAATATTATAATGTAAGTAAAGAATAATAAGAGTGTTAATATTCCTATTTTGTGAGTATTATTTAGTAAAAAGCTCTTACTATAATAATTCAGTAGCTATATATTTTAGTTTAGTATTTAGATGTTAATAAATATCTTCACATAACTATATTTTTATTCAATTTTCTAATTTAAATAAAAAGTAAACTAATACAAAAATATCCATTAAAGATATTAAAGAACGTGAAAAATGATAATTAAATGGGCAAACCATTATTAGACATTTAATAAATAATTTTAAATGAAAGAATGATACACATTTTTAATTTTTTATGCACCGATGGAGTTATCTGTCCCTGTAATATAGCTTTCCAATTATCATTATCAAGTGGCAACACATGATTAATTGAAGTTGAACATCGCCTGTGGAGCTATTTAGTTGTATATATTTTGCTCTAAGTGGCTATTTTAGAATTAATGTTTGTCCATCAATTCTTAGCTTTCATCTCGATCAATTTTGCAATTAACTCTTCATAAAACAAAGTATTATTTTAAATTTTAATTAAAATTTCATAATGAGTTAATATTTTTTAATACTTTAAAGTCCTGATGAGTTTTATATTCTTACAATCAATATTTTATAAATTTTATTGAGAATAGTGTTGACTTACTTAAAATTCTTTCATTGTGGACAAATAGATTATAAAAGATAATGTGAAAAATCATTTATTGTTTAGAGGTAGAATTTATTGTCTAAAATGATTTTCAAATTATGAAACAAAAAGTTAAGTTTTTTTTAATACATTGCACATTACTGTATTAATTTAAAAAGAGTTAATATTGAAGAAATACTATTGACTGAAAAATCTATCTCAAATGAGAATATTTATTTTTATTTGCTTTTAACAAATTAAGCATGTTTTTTTCTTTTTTTAAAAATGATTAATTCAAGCATTAATATATTTTTAGTAACTGACACTAATTGGAGTTTAATAACTCAAATAATTTAAACATGTAAAACTTTAATAAATTCACATTTTTGACATTAATTTATTTTATTATACGTCTTATACTTTCTGAATCATCTTCTATTTACTAATTACTATCAAAAATTATTAGGCTGCTCTTATCAAAGAAAAAGGGAAAGAAAGGCGACAATTATCCATTATGATACAGATAAAATTTCATAATAGTACTACTATGTTCTAAATTGCATAGATTTTACTAGCTTAGCATTATTCTCTTACTGAATAGTATTGAATAACAAGATAGGTAATTTTTTTTATTGCAGAAAGCAGCCAGATTAAAGTTTAGAACAAGCATGAATTAAATTAAAATAACGTAACATGCAAACCGTTTTTGTTTAGTGAATGTTTTTTTTAAATTTTTTATAAATATTTAATAAGCTAAAATTTATAACTATAGGAAATATATAAACTATAGGAAATATATAAACTATAGGAACAATAGGAAATATAATTAATACAATAAGAGGGACTGAGCTTTTTTTAAGAACACTTAAAAATTTCTAAAAAATTAAAAGTATATTATATCAAATTGTTAATTCAAATAATTAACTAAATTTAATTTAAAATTTTTCTTGTTAAGAGCAGAATCTTCAGCATTAAAATATTTTCCTGCTTAAAAACTATCAACTCACACATATACATGACCACATCTAATACACAAAATAACTATATTTTTAAAAAAATTACTCCTTTTCTTTTTATATTTATGGAAGAAGAGAAATGAATTTAAAAATATTCATAATACTGTTTTTTTGACAACTACACAATCAGACAATAATCAAGGAAAAATCAAAGTATTTAGAAAAAAATAATACGTAGGAACACAAAGGACAATAACAATCAACAAAATTAAATTAACAAAAAAACAAAACAAAACAATTAACAAAATAACACCAATTTTACAAATAAATGAATAAAATAAAAGTTAAGTAATGCGCAGAAACAAAAAAAAAAAAAAAAAAAAAAAAAAAAAAAAAAAAAAAAAAAAAGAGGACAAACAAAGTAAATACTCAAAATCATAATGATCAATCACTATTTATTAATTTACTTCAGTATTTAAATTCTTAACATATTAGTCACATTTAAATGTATAGATATACTTCAAAAATTTTTATAAAAAAAAAGTAATAAAAGCACACAGTATGCAAAAATCTCTTAGTACCATATACCATACACATTAATAGTTTCTTAACAAATAGAAAATAAACACGAAACATTTTGCTACATGCAAGTAACAAAAAAAAAAAAAAAAAAAACCCAAAGCATTAAGCTTTTTCAGTATACAAACCTTATGTCACTTCAATAAACTCAGTGTCTAATAAGGATAAGTCTGATGATATAAAAAAAGAGCTAAGGCAGTATTACTTACTTTTATAAAACATCAATAGAGAGCAAAATATCTGTCTCCATTCACATAACTTACAACAAACAATAATTTAAGAACTATAACACAAAGCAAAACATATTTAAGCATAGAAACAATCTATTACAATCTATTCTTACTTGACATAGAAACATTAACCTCAATTGTAGTTCAGGATGGGATCTGGAGGTTTTCTTGCTTTAGGTTGTAATTAATTTATTGAAAAAAAGAGTTTTGGTAAGAATCATTTGATAAAATGTACAAAATAATTGGGAAAAAAATTAAAAGCAATTTTTAAATAAAATAAATAAAAAATTAAAGAACATTTCACTATAAGCTAATTTAAAGATGGGGAAAAAAAGAAAGAATAATTATTTCTAGAATGTTAAATAGAAATTATAGTTAAATAAAGATGTCATGTAACAAACGCATAAAAACTTACTCGAGTTAACTAAATATTGGTTAGTAACACCTGGATGGTCGACATCATGGACAGCTGCTGCAAATAGTGTAGCAAGTATTTCCAAATCAGTAAAAACTGACTGAAAAAATAAATAAATAGATATTTAGTAAATAAATAGTTTTGTCACATATTCTGAAAAAGTATATCAAAATTTGCAAGTGATTTGGATGCTATTGTCTTAGTACTTTTATGACTGACAATTTTACACAGAAACTATGTCACCAGCTATTATTTTGTAATTGAATATGGAAGTAAGTTAAATACTCTAAATCTTGATTTCAAGTGCAAATGTTGCTGGCTGATGATGAGTTAACTCATCATGGATAAAACGTTTGGACACGAAAGACGCATTAACTTATCAACAATCAAAATGTGTTTTGGAGCAGATTAGAGCAAATAGTCTTTATATTCAGAGCAGCATAAAGCTTTTAAAATTAAATTTTTGATAATTTTTGTTAAATACTTAACATTTTAAATCATGCGAGCTGAATATCCGTTCTTTGTAATGGAGAGAAAAAAATAAAAATAATCAGTACTTTAAGAAATTATGCACAAATCTGAAATTTATACACCAATACAATAAATCAAGCTGAGTTATTATTATTATTTGCCATGCAGGTGATTTTTGATTATTATAATAAACAAAACACGTTTTTAGAACTTCCTCACATTAAGATAAATATTAATTGATTCCGTATTTGGCATATTGCTGTTTTCCGAGATCAACTCATGATAGTCAAAATTTAAAATTTTTATCAATTTTTTCTGGTATTTATGCTTCTAGGAACTCTAGTACTTTTGAAGGGACAAAAAATGCATTTCTCCAATAATAAAGCTGTACAGTATTGATGCAGTTTTAACAAGTATCAAGTATACTATCATAACATTTTGTACCTGCTTTTATGGATTTGCTACATATTAAGGCTACATCAACTACCATAATACCAATATTTATACATTACCAAAATTAGGTATCATTGGCGAGAAAAATAGCATGGCAATTTTTCACGTTATTAGTACCACATTAGTATCACGTCCAATTAGTACCACTTCTTCATTAACTTTGCCTTTTACACATAAATAATTTTTTATTTCAACCGGTGCCGATTACCAAAATTAATGAAACATAATTCACACAAAACCATGCTTAGGGCGGGTGAACTGGACAACCATCCAAGGCCGTTAAAATTTTGGGCTGCCACAAATTCAAGAGCGATTAATAGTTTCATTGCAAGTTCTTTTTTACATATGCTAAATCTTGGACATATTTTTACTATTCATTGGATATATAATTTATACCAGTTATTGTAAATTATATTTATAACTGTGTCTAATTTTATTTCAGTTAATGTTCCTCAAGATCTGGAGTGTAAGTTTTAAAATAATAATATGGAAATTTTGTCCACTTTCAACCTTTACGCCATAGAAATTAATTGCATTAAAAATTTCACATATTGCCATTTTGTGAGAGTGTGTGGAAGGCAATCCTGAAGAACTGCTGTGGAAAATGTCAAGAAAAATAAAAAGCAGAATTTGCATGTTTAAAAAGTATTTAATTAAAAAAAAAATTGTTGATTTGAATGACATGAATTTTTTTCAAATCATAGATATATCTAAAAAATATTATTTATACAGTACTTCATTACCCAATATATTATACTTAAGACTGTGATAATAAACTATTGATATCAAATCTCATTGATAATACATATTTTATTCATTCCAAATGTTGACGAACAATCAATAAAATCTGATTGGAATTTTTAAAAAAATCCAATGTGTAATATATACTTTGTTAAATGAAATATGATTTTTAATAACTATGATAAAATGTTATAATGTTTTGTCTAGAACCGCTAAAGCCCAAAGCATGCCCTGAATCCACATCATTTTTTTATTGTTTTTTACATATCTTTGTGGTTTCTTATTTTTTGATATTTTTAATTACATATGGGACACAATGTTATTAAGACACCAAAATTTCAGATTTGAGCAATAACCAATTGCTTAGAATTTACTGAAAAATCAATTATTGATATGTCTGATTCCATAGTAATTTTCTGTTTTATGATTCTCTTTTTTCTGCATCTTCTATTTGGATTTTCAAATTTCGATATTTCCATACGATATTATTGCATATGTGTACGTCAAATTTCAAGGTATTACTTGTGGGTGTGATCTATTCTCACTGATTCTATAGTAAATCCTATTATTTAGATTTTTTGTCAACCCTTTTAACATGGCAGTTTCAATTCCAATATCTAAAACGTTCTGATTACAAGTGTGTTTCGTTAATTTGGTATAAAATTTTTTTAATGCGCTTCATGCGATGAGGGGAAAAACTCTCCTAAATAAACATGCAGGGGTGATTGTGAGTCCACGTCAAAATTCCGGAAAATTTCTTAAGTAAAAAAAGAAAAAAGAAGAAAAAAACAGTTTATATTGAAAAATTAGAAAAAATTTTAAACAAGTTTTTTTTTCCCTTTTTCTCAACATTTCTTAGTTTCCTTAAAATATATTTAAAATTTTACACATACCAATGATGATCTGGAGAAGTAATTAAAATTTACAAACATGTCTTTCTTTCTTGAGTTTATGATTATAACAACTATTTACTGATAAAAAATGAATATTAATCATGAATATAAGCCTATAAAGTATCTCATTAGCTCTCCCTTACAAACAAATAAAATAAATTGTGATTTTAAGTTCCACCTTTGAAAATTTGATTTCCAGAAACTTCTGTGATCAATGATTTTTTGAAACATCTGGACCTTCGATCTCTGGAAACTTCCGGATCACTGTTAGCGAAAATTCCGGAAATCCGGATTTTTTCCGGAGCACAATCAGCCCTGAACATGTTAATCAACGTTTAGATGAAAAAAGAAAATTGCTTGCAGTTTTGGGGCAGCAAAACTGATTTTAATGGGACTATATGCGCTAAAGTTTCACATTTTGCTCAACTAATATTAAAGAGTTTGCAGCAGCAACAAATGTAAATGGCATTGTATAGTTAAGATAAGCTGAGCAACTAGCATTAGGAACTATGTATGATGAAAAATGAAAAGATCACTATTATTGTATTTTTTTTATTTAAATTTAAATAATTAGCTGATTTTCCTTAAACTGGCACCTTTCCATCTCATATTTAAACAACAGATACAATCTTCGAATTTTTCGATAAAAAATAATTGAAATATAGTTGATTAGAGCAGAATAAAAAATATTTAGTATTTATTTTACACAAAATTAATTAAATAATCGATCTAAACAAAATACTCATAAAGTGTTAAGTGACAATCAGCACCATTCAATTACAAAAAAAAAAAAAAAAAAAAAAAAAAAAAAAAAAAAATTCACTATAGATCAACTTGGGCATTTTTTAAAATGGCTCAGACTCATTGCAGTATAAAAGATGCTGCGGCCAGTAATGCAATGTCACAACCATTATATTTGTAATGCACAACACTATTTGCTACAGAAACCGGAATTTTCAGTAGCATTATAAAACACTCACAAACAAAGTAAGTTGTAATCAGTGTTTTTATTTTAATTTTGTGCCATCAAATGCTGTTTTGTTGATGCTTGGGTTCCAAAATAGAATAGCCCTGATTATGAATAATAAGATATGAATTCCAAAGAAAAAGTAAATATAATAGCATTTTTGAAATCAGAAGAGAATATATAAGAAATAACAGATTTTTTACAACTTACATCCAAAGCTGGCGAAGATAATAACACATGGACAGATTGTGTAACATCACAAGCATGGTTTCTATTATGGTATGGCACTTTGAGATAATGATCCTCCAAAGTCATCAAAAAATTTAAAAGGGTCTTTGAAGGAATGTTGAAAGTCTTCAGTAAATCTCGATCCTTTATGGAAAAATGAATTATTAGTATACAATTCATTAATTTTATAATTTAAAATGGAAATATTATAAGTTATCAATAAAACACTAGAAATGCTTTAATATAACTCTTCAAAACAACTGCCTAATGACACAATTAGTTAACAGAATATGCATAGTCAATATCATGCAAATTATTTTCCAAAAACTCTCAAAAAATATGATCATAATAGAGTATAAATAAATGCTTGTTATGAATAATTTTTTTAAAAATATAATCTTTATAAGATTAACAAAAGAAATTGCTAAATTTCATCGAATGTTGTTCAGTACTTTTAAAATTAAATAGATAATATCCAATACATACATTTATTAAATATGCAACATAGTTTGTAAAATACAATGAAATGAAGAAATGTGTCATTTAAGCAAATCAAAAAAATATGATGCAAAATTCAGACAATGAATATTTTTTTGGAAAAATAACTATCATATTTAAATAAATTTAAATTAGAAAATCAATTTGCCAATAATCAGCTTAAATTTTTAGAAAGAATCTAAAAGGTTGAAGCATGCACATCAGTTTTGAAGTATTTAATTACCGTAATTTCGCGCGTATANCGGACCTGCGGACTATACTGTGGTGCGGACTATACGTGCGAAATTACGGTATGAACAATTTTTCAGATTTGAAGAGCTGATTTCTGCTTAAAATTTGTCTCCCATAGATAGAATAAAGACAAATTTTATATATGTATAGGCACTACTCCCATTCTGAAGCTTACATAAAAAGTATTCATTGTTTTATACCAGGGTTTTCTAAGGTAGGCCCAGCCCAAAAAACCTCAACAGGTTTTTTCGGTTTGGGTTCAGTTGAAAAAACGCATCTTTATATCCACTAGGTAAGTTTCTTTGCAAAGATCAAATTAAATTGCTCTTTGAAATTATCAAGTTATTATTTTATAAATTTAACTAAGTAACTTTTTATACAAAATTGCATGAAATAACATATTTTAGTAATCAGATTTTTACTAACAAAATTTAAAATAAATGAACTGAATGCATGAAAAAAATAAGTTCATGATTAAATAAAACATATTGCTAAGTTATAATCTACAAATTATCTATAAAACAAAGTATATATAATATGCATACATTTTACACTTATGGCAAATAATTTATTTAGATGGTTATTAAACTCTGCAGAGGGGATTTTTCCTTTGACTGTTAAAAGAATCCATAAGTTTTGCTTTTACTTCTTGTTTCTACTTTACATTTCTAAAAAGTTCACCTTCAAGCATATTAGAGATATGTATTTATTGGTAAGAATTATAATATAAAATATACAAAAACAAAACAATGTGTTATTTCAGTGGTTTATCAGTATAATTTTTGCGATATGTTAGGCATATCTTTTAATATTTTGACATTAATTTCTTGGAAACACAAAATTATGTGCAGTTTCTTTTTATTTTAATACAACATCTCAAATTTACACACAACTCACCTTTTTGTAGTGAAAGGTATTTGCTTAACTCTGTGTTTTTAGGGTGGGGTCCAATTTCTTTCTTGTTCATTTTAAACTGTTTTTTCTGTATATTATTCAAAGGTGAAAATATTCAAAAGAGAATTTTTATGCAAATTTAAAGGATGTAAAAATTGTCGTACAGAATTATATAGTTTGATTAAGCACTTTAAGGAGATAAGACATTGTTCTATCAATTGGCTCTTTTGAGGTTCTGTTGGACATATCCTCTTTATAGTATGTTGAGTAATGTTTAAGATATCAATATCTATATCTTATTTTTATTTTTGTCATACACCATAAGCAATTTAAAATCCACAAATTTGCCTTCACTCTCTTATAAGATCAAATAGTAAAAAACAGATATGAAAATAAACTGCTATGGCACTATATAAATTATAATAAAAAATGTGCAGATAAAATTTTAGCTGTATGTTGACAGCATATTTTTGTGAGCAATACAATTATATTTATATATTAATTGAAAGTAACGATCTGAGATTAGTTCTCAATTTCTGTTTTATTTCTATGACATAATTTAAAAGGTTGTAAAGGTTATAAAATAATTTTTTAATGGTCTTTGGATTACACTTATTGACATAAAATTTAAGAAATAAACTTTCAAAATTACAAATATAAACACATTGAACAGTAAAAGAAGTATAAAAAACTAGAAAAAACCCGGACACACAACATTTTAAAACATTGAATAGTGAATGAAGCAAAAAAAAAAATTAAAATTTAATTTAAAATGAAAACTATATACGCAGAGTGATCTATATAACATTTTTAATCAAATTATGACATACTTTACTCAATTAAAGAGCATGTCATTGTTTCATAATATCAATGCATATTAACTAAAGTATTTAAAAGATTCTTAAACTTTCAAATTTTAAAAATAATATCACAACTAAAACAAAAATAAATACATCGAAGAAAATACATTAAAAAAATAAATTAAAAAAGTAAATAAAAATAAAATAGAACCAAAGCAATATGCTTACTCTAAATATTTTATGTCCAACTGCTGTTAAAGGTCGCTGTTCTGAATAAACATCTATTTTAAAAATGTCTAAGCCCCATCTATTTGTGTCTTCTAACATCTACAAAAAAGCAAAAAAAAACTATGAAATGCAATTATTAAGACAATTATAATGATAATATTATAAATTATACATAAATAAGAGAAAATATTATTGATTAATATATTAAATAGATATTCAATTTAATGCAATATTTATTTTTAAATAACATAGAAATCTATGTCTGAAACAATCAGAAAGTACTTTTGCAACATATATTGAAATTAACTACAATTGTTAATCATACTTTTCCAAGCTCCACTTCATATGTAGTTTCAACTCCAAATTTAGGCAGCTTGGTAAGGCTATTAGTATGACAAAGTGGCTTTTTAACACCAGAAATTTGTGACATTGTTTGACTTGTTTTAGACTGTCTTGAAAAATCTTGAGCTTCATCTCCCCAAAGAGCAGGTAAATCAAGTTCCTGTTGCTTATCTACGAAAAAAATTATAAATATTTTACGTATAAAAAGGAGATTTACAGAGGCTTGAAGTTTTTTTAAAGCAAAAACTGTAATCTATAGATTAATACAAATATAGATTTTGAAATCCTGAGCTTGTGACATTTGTCATTAATATTTTAAATTTACTTTTACTTCGAGGCATTTACAAGTACATCAGGAGAGTTTTAGACAGTGAATAGTATTTAATTATGATCCAACTTCAGAATATGTAATGGAGTATTACCCAATTTCTTTTCAGAAAAGAAAAAAATCAATAAGTTGACAGATTTCTTTTTAAAATATGTGCCAATCAAGGTTATTTATTTAAAGTACAGTACAGAACCCATTATCCGGAAATCAGAAAACTGGAAAACCAAAAAAACGGAAAGAAATTCGATACATTTTCCCGCCATTTTTTAAAAGAAAATTTTTTTTCCTCATAAGATTTTAGGATTTTTCTTTCTCTTTTGAAAGATGTTTACCATACCATCATTTTAGAAATAATCATTACTGTATTACTTCATCGTTTTTTCTTCTTTTTAAGATTCTTTCCTAATACTTTTTTTTAGCTGGGCTTAACAATAAAAAATAAAAAAATGGTGTTTTGTAGCGATTCAGAAAACCGGAAAAATCAGTTATCCGTAATAGCGATGGCCCCGATCGTTCCGGATAATCGGTTCCCTACTGTACCTTATATTTCTATAAAAATGGGGAAATTCACAAATTTGCAACACAAAACCTATATTTTTAGATCAGATGTAGTTTCAACCTCTTTAAAATGGCACACTTTAGAACTCGCATGTAATAACTTTCTCTTTAAGTGGCTGTCAAAAAGAATATTTTCACTCTATGAAAACTGTATTAAGCTTAAACACAAAAGGATATTCAATATATAGGATACCTTAGTCAGAACGTATATTAATTTGAACACAAAACATATATTTAAAAAAAAAAGAAGTTTTTTAGTATGCCATTCTTTAAAATAGTACTAATATAGTTTGAGGTCAAGTTTTACTAAAGGTAAAAAGGTGGATTTTTTTTAAACAAAAGTTTAAAGACTATAAAAGACACTTTAAATATGTAGGGTGTCATTCTTGAAAATATTTAAATACACTTTGCCTTTAAGTAGGAATTTTTTCTTAAAATGACAGTCAATTATAGCATTTATAAAGTGAATATGTGCATTAGGATAGAAAAAATATATATAAAACATGTCAGACTTGTATGTGAAAGTATAAATGCAACTTCAAAAGTCAAAAAAAAATTTTTTTTTTTTTCAATTGAAACATTAGCCAGGGGCCTGTCTAGGTTTTTCTGAAAGGTACCTATTTTGTGAAAATTTAGACATAATTTGTGAAAAATTAAAAATTATATTTAAAAATCCAACACAAAAATATGGCAAGAATATGGATTTATAATTTTTTAAGGAATACAAAAATAAAATTTTAAGAAAAAGTATTTTGTGAAACTACCGTTTTTCCTAAAATTAAATTTGCGAAACTACCGTTTTTCCTAAAGTTGAATTTGTGAAGGTACCGCTAAACGGTAGTAAATTCGGTCTGGACAGACCCTTGTTAGCATATCTAATTTTAGTAAACAGTAGTTGAAACTATACTTCTTTCCAAAATGCATAATCGGCAGGATAGATAGAGCCATCAATTTATATTTTAAATAATCCCAAAATTTTTTTAAAATTTGTTTATGAAATAATTTTGTTTATGAACTAAAAAATTTGTTATGAACAAGCACATTTTTGATTATGTATCAGTTCTTTGAACTATTGATTTAATCCATAAGAAATCATTATTTTTTTAATTTACTCGTAATTTCTGCCCTACTTTTTAACATCACAAAGAACACTCTGGAAAATTTATTTCCCAGAATTTTATTGCAGAATTCATGTTTTAAAAAAATATATTATTTTTATATGTGCAATTCATAAAAGTGGTGCAAAATACTTTGCATTCAAATGTAACAGGCAGAAAATAGCATATCAAAAATAGAATTTTTTAATGAAAATGTATGTTAAGTTTTATCAATACAAGGGACACTTAAGAAATTAATTCCACATGCTTCAACTGCAAAGCAAATCATTTTGGACCATGAATAATTTCTACATGGGTCATTCATTAAAACTACTTGTTTATGCATTCAAGTTGAATTTTGATTGAAAATGATATTTAAAAGTAAGGTCCTTTTATTTTATAACCAAAAGGCAACTTAGGTTTAAACATGACAAGGAATAATTTAAAAAACAATCAATTTAAAATACAATCAATTTGTACTATGCACCATTACACCTATATTTCAAAGCCGAAAGTAGTTTTCATCTGCATCATTCTTTAAAATGTTATATACTTCACATAAGAAGTACAACTCCCAATTGGGGTTTCAGTGGCTTTGGGTAAGAACAGTGGTGTATTTAGGACATGGCGAGTGGGGCCATTGCCATGAGTGAAGAAATGACTAATTTTGAAAATTTAAAAGGATTACAATAAAGTGTATAGTTTTTTTTTTTTACTATTTTATAATTTTATGGAGATAATATTTACATAGAGGTGCTAGGTACATTCTTTAAAGAGAAATTATCAAATGATAATCAAAGGCTTTTTCTTCATCTTCAGTCTTGATTAGAGTTTTGGTAAACAACAGTGGAGTATGCAAAAAGGTATATGCTTTAGACAAGGAAAAATGTTTTTAAAAATTTATTTTATTTACATTTCCAATTGTCTAAAACAATATTTATATATTTTTATCTATTGATTTAAATTTAAGAAAAACCCAAAAATGATTTTAGTTTAAAATTTATATTGGTTTAGTCTATTGCATTATATGGATTATTTTCGTCACACTTTGGAAAAAAGACATTAAATTAAATATACCCACTATAATCAGTAACCATATTAGAACAATGTCAGAATTTAAAAACATTGAAAAAGAAATAGAATTGAAAGCTTTGTCTTCTTTTTTAAATATGAGTAATCATTTAAATTAAGTAAAAATTATAAAAAAAATATTTCTAAGAACATAAATTATAATTAATAACTTTTGTTGTATATTAACTGAAAATACATTTTTTAGGCTAAGAAAGCATAAAATTAATCATAATTGTTTAAGTCATGAATTTAGTAATTATGAAATAAGAATTCCTCAATCATTATAGTTATAAGTATAGGCGATTTTTCATTTACAGTAGTTACAATGACATTTTTGACTAATTCATTTCAATGAATAAATTAAATCTACTTAGAAATTTATTAAATTACACTAATGTACACAAAATAAAATTATCGTTTATCTACATCCATGATATAATTAAAAAAATTTTTTTTGCTACTAAGTAAATTTTAACGGCACATGAGTTTTTAATGTGATAAATTTTAACGGCCAAACTGATATAAATTGACAAATAAATGTGTTGAATTTTGAAGAAGAAAATAAAAAATGTGTTGAATTTTGAAGAAGAAAATAAAATAAACATACCAAGAAATGTCGAGCAAATATATTCAGAAATTTGACTCCCAGACTTTGAATCAGAGAAAATGCTGAGTTCTTTGTTAAGCATTCTCTTAAACTAGAAAAAAAAATTGATCGTATTAAAATAAAATAACTAGAAAACAAAATAATTGAAATTTATATAATGGAATATACATTTTGTATGAAAACTACAATCTAAGGTAACTAAAAAAAGTAAGATTACAATGAACCACCCTAAAAAAGGTTCTTAAGAGCCAGACCAGTTCACATTTTTGAAACATAAAAACATTTTTTAAATATCACTTGAGAAGCAAACATTCTCTCAAGAAATAAGAATGAAAAAGAATTTATAAAAAGCAACAACCCTTTTTTACACAAAATATCTTATTGAAAAAAAAAAAAAACTAATTGCCAAATTATAAGGTAAAGACATGAAAAAGAAACAAAATCAATATCTATAACACCAATTTCCTAGCTATGAAAATATAGGTGGAAAAATGTCATTAAAAATCTTTCAGATAATTTTGTATAGACAATAAGCAACAGATGACTGTATAATAAATGCAAAATTTCATTTGTTTGAAAATTTATGAAGAAAATTAAACATAATACTCTACAGATCTCATTTGCTTTAAAAAAAAAAAAAANAAAAAAAAAAAAAAAAAAAAAAAAAAAACTAAAAGAAATATTTTTCAAATAGCTATATCAGTATGCAGAAAAATAAAAAGTTCTACATGTAAAAATTATGTGGTTATCATAAGAGGCAAAATTTTCCTTTTTTTCCTGATTTATGTAAAACAGTTATGATTAATGAAATAGAATTCTAACATGGTTTGCATATTTTTAAAAATAATAAATATATAATAAAAATATGCATGCTTGGTTGTTTCCTGAACCAGATTTTATAAAATTTTTTTTTTGATAAAACCTAATTGTGCAAAACTAAATTTGCAACCTAGATATGAGGAATGCATTTTTTAAAAAAATAATGCATAAGATGTTTGCAAATTTAAAATCTGATTTAATAATTTAAGTTATAATAGAATGCTTATCATCAATTAGAACAATTAGCTTTGATTCATTAAAAAAACATTCAAATGTAAGGGGAAAATATGGAAAGGAGGGGTAGGGAGAAAATGCAAGACATTTAGTTTAAGGCTTTGTAGAAACATTAATATCATTTTGAAGGATTTGATAAATAAAGAAAACATTCATAAGGGCCCCAAAAAACATCTTTATTTAGGCCTCTTTACAGAGTTTGAAAGGCAGTGAAAAACCTGGGATAAATTGTAAGCATTTCAATAAGAAAAAAATAACAGACACTGCAATAATTTATTTTGTTAAAAAAAAGAAGGTAAAATTATTGAAGAGTCAAGATTTGAAAAAGAGAATATTTTTTCTCATACAGAAGAAACTGTAGCTTTAAATATCACCCTCAATAACACTGAATAGAAATCAGATGCCTTCACAATTGATGTTTTATTCCTAAAAGTCAGGTGAGATAATGCTGTCAGGAAAAGATTATAAACATAAGAGTAAATAATAAGACTCCTTTAAAAAATTATTATAAATTTGCCATTAACTATATTTCACATATATTTCATAGTTTTTCTTTTTGATACCATTACTTCTACTTACATTCATTTCATAGTAGAAAATTTCTGGTTAATCTGAGTTTTCAGTTTTTCAAATAGGCTTCAAAGTATTTTTAAATATAAAAATGAAGCAAAAAATAACAAGATTTTCGTTACCTTGCTCGAAGCCATATCACCCACTGATCTGTGAGTGTGAATATTTTCTAGTTGGTCCAAGCACCAATCAAGCTCAGCTAAAGTTTCACCGGCCAATTTATTAAATTCATCATCTAAAAGTACAAAAATATAATAAATAAAACCATGGAAAATAACTGGTTAATTAGCACTGAGCTGACTGCTAAATCAATAAAATATTATTTTGTTTCATGGGCAAGTATAAAAGCTTTTAGGCACATATGGAGAAATAATTAAAAATTTCATTATAAAAAATTCCCTTGATTTTCAGAATAATGGCTTGAAGGAGAATTTTTGAACTTGAAAGAAAATTAACAAACAACATGTTAAAAACCATATAAAAATATATGTTGAAAACCACATTGAAGTTCACCGATTCTTACTCAAATTATGAATCATATTCTATATTTTTATAATAAAATATGGATAATAAATTTCAAATAATTGGAAAATCAGTTTTTGATTAAATATACAAGTCACAATGAGCAAAAGAAAAAAGCTTCTTACCAGAAAGAGGCTTTGAAGGCGGGGGAGTATTAGAAGAGTTTGAAGGTCGTCTGTTTGCCCTAAACAAAAAATTAATTAAATAATTATAAATTTATTGCATTTACTTTTTATTATAAATTTCTGTAGTTATAAGCAGGGGTAGTGAAAATTCTCAGAGCCGAATATTTCCCAAGAACACACTGTTTTTGGTTTGAAATTTCCACCAAAATTATGCCATTTTTTCTTCTTTTTTTAAGTTACAATACTTTTTTCAAAATATCTTTAGAAAGTAAAGTTAGTACATTGATAAAATTTTTAGGTAATAACTTTTCTTTCACAAAGAAAAATATTCATGTGATTTTACACAATTCTTGAATAAATTAGCATATGTCTTAAATAATAGAAATCAAAATTATGGCATAACGAATTTAAAAATATGTTAAAATAAATGTTAATATTTAAATGACTTATTCTTTCATCCTTCTTATGTTTTATTTGTCTAAATGTAACATTTTTACTTTAGCATTCTGTTTTAAAAATAGTCAGGATTTTTGTAATATAATTTTTTTTTCCAATATAGAAGTATAATTCTGTTCAATTGAATGAAAAAATATTAAAGAATAGACTATCAGTTTTATACATAAAAATAACATTCATAAAATTTAAAGGGAGAAAGAAAAATGTTTTGCATAATGATCTTTTTCTATCATCAACATATAAAAGAATATACATTCCAATAATATAAGTGAAATTATTCTTGCATTTTGAAAAGGAAAAAAAATTTTGACTTCAAAAATCATGATACATGTGGAAATATATGAGAATAATTGCTGAAAAACCCATGTCAAAACCACGTAGCAATACTACAAAATCACATGTAATGGACAAGTCAAAAAGTGATTAACCCAGGGGGCGATTTGAGACTAGGCAGTTGTAATAAATAATACCATATTAAAAATATTGAGATTTTAAAAACCTTGCAGAAATCAATAATAATAACTACCATACTCAATCGAAAAAAGGATGTAATTGTCAGGCCAAAAGTGAAGACTCAATTGCGCTATTCAAATTTTGCATTTAGTAATAATAACTTTGAAAAATACCAGGATAAATAAAAATAATGGAATTAAAAAAAGAAACATATTTGAAAATCAATAACATGGAATCGGCTGAAATCCAGCGTAAGCGGCAGAAAGTGATTTACTCAGAAATGCAATTCGAATCTTGAACAGCGTGTCATAATAACACTGTATGAAATATATTGGCATTTTAAGCAAGGAAAAAAAAAACTGGCGGAAGTTCACAGCACTATCTGCCAACAAAGGATCATGGAGTTACCACAGAATTGGTACAAGTCAAGCTTTCCAAGAAATGATTACTCCAATCAGCACTAATTTCCATGCCGTAATATTATATTAAAAATATAGGGATTTTATTGATTTGGTTCAATTTTATTACAGTAATTTTTTAGCAGAAAATTTTAATAAAGCAAAACGCTTTTTCCAATAAAAACTTTTCAGCGAATTCTGCACCCCTACTCTTAAAAAAACTTTATAAGTAATTAATATTGTAAATAATTATTATTAATGTATGTAGTGTGCTTATTAAGTGCAATAAACTTATTTAAAACTTGATAAAAATCTGCTAATACTGCAATTTATAAATTAGAAAAATCATTAACTCAAAATAAAACAAAATTTAAAAATATATTTTTGTTTCTTTATCACATTGTGTTATTTTGACTGCCTTTTATACAAACTATAAAAAAAAAGTTAATTGTCTTATTAGCTATATGCATTTTTATGAATGTACAAATATATGAAACAAAATTTTAGGGGAAAACAATAAGGATTTTATTGATTTGACTCAATTTTATTATAGCAATTTTTTTACGAGAAAATTTTTTTAAAAAAGTAAACGCTTTTTTCAAAGAATATTTTTTTAGCGAATTTAATTTTAATCAGACCAAAATTTTCCCCAGGATTGCCAGAATTTCTTCAAAACCTCGTAACGACAATCTAGCACATTATGCACTCCTGGTCGTAAATAAACTTTATAAGTAATTATTGTAAATAATTATAATTAATTTATGTAGTGTGCTTATTAAGTGCAATAAACTTATTGAAAACTTCATAATAATTTGCAAATACTGTATTTTATAATTAGAAAAATAATCAACTCAAAATAAATTAAAATTTAAAAATATATACATATTTTTATCATATTGTGTTATCTTCACTATATTTTAGATAAAAAACATAAAAAAAGTGAACAGACTTATAAGTTCTATGTATTTTTATAAATGCACAAATATATGAAGCAAAATTTTTGATGAAAGAACCTGAAAAAATGAGAGAAATACCTTTCAACTAAAAAATACACCAGCTATTACAGAATTAAGAAACTAGTCAAAATAATTTATTTTTTTAAAAAATTAAACTAGTTTTAAGAAATTTTATTTTAAATATTAATCACTTTTCAAGTTTATTATTTTTTTCAGAGCTACATTATTTTTCAATATAAAGACTTATTGCAGGCTAAAAAAAAAATTTCTTTTTTTCAGTTAATAGAATTAAGTTAAAGCAGTCCTTGAGAACTTTGAAAAAATTATTTTTGTTACTCTTCCCTCCCATGACATGGTCACTGGGGAAAAGTCATAAATTTGATTATTTTATTTTTTATAATTTAGTAATTTTTTAAAGTTAGTAAAATAAAAATAAATTAAACTAAAAAATAGCCTTGAGGAAATAATCCTAATGTTTATTTTAATTTAAATTGATAAATTAAATTACATTAATTGTTATATTAATTTATAATTAATATTTATTAAAGTAAGCAAAAAAATGTTTGCACTAGAAGTGTATTTTTTAATATTTATTTGAAATAAAAGCAAATTGTTTAATTTATTGAAGGGAATTAGGGTTATTTTATCTGCAGTAATTTTGTAAATGAATATTAAATGTCAGCTGAGAGGCAGAGTCATTAAAAGTATCTTGAAAGTACATATTTTCACAACATTAATAAAACAGTGTTTTTACTACAGCGCGAGAATCTCGCATATTTTTATCTTTTCTCGCATAAAAAAATGATAAATGCGAGAAGTTCGTGCACTCTATTAATCAATTTTAAAATGTGCGAATCTCTCGAATTTTGGAAAAAATTTCGAAATCGAGAATTTAGAAATCTCACCCTGTTTTTGAGAAAGAGTGAGAAATTCTCTCCCATTTTTTTTTCTGTAATGAAAACACTGTAAAACGTTATAAACTTTCATAGGTAATCAACATTTTGAATTAAAAAGAAAAACCTATTAAGGCATGAAAACATTAGTTTACCAAAGTTTTTTATTATTTAAGTAAGAATTAACAAATTTAATAAATAAAATGAGGAAAGAAAAAGTACCAATTAACTAAACCAAAATAATCCAAAAGCTAAAATTAAAATAATCAAATTTAGTAAAATATCCTAATAAGTGATCTATTACGAACTAATTCCCTTTAATACCAAATAGTCTCCCACAACAATGCATTTCAAACTAACATCATGGAGTCATTTGCTCGTTTAAGCTCATAATCCAATGATTTAAAAAAAAGCAATTAGAGATAGAAATTAAAATATGCAGTCAGCATATTAATTCGTGATATATTTCAAATTATAAAAAAGATAATCTAAAATGAAAATTAAATTGGTTTTTCATCATAAAAACTTTGTTTCTTAATTTGCTACAGAACTCTCTTTCCTGTTTACTTAATACTGGCTAATAAGCCAATTATGTTTTAATTAATCCCATATAACCACAGCTAGATTCTTATTTTTTTGTCAGTTTTTTTTTTTAAATTATAAATTACTGTAACTCAGATATAGAAATTTAGAATATCACTTACTTATGTTTAAGTAAAAATAGTATAAGTATTTCCCTTAAAGTGTACTAATTTGCTTGACTAAAATAAACATAAAACAAAGTATATGTTTAATTTATAGTGTATGAGTTGGCTGATGAGCTGAAGAATAACACTGATTTAAGTTTAGCTCTTTAAGATAAAGATTGCTATTTTTTTTTTTAAATATAACTAAATAATAAAAAGTAATGCTGCTGAAAATATGACAAGATTTTAATAGAAACGGATAATTGTTGCATTTATTCCAAATAATATTAAAAAATATATATAAATAACAGTATTTATTAAAAAATTACACTATTAAGTCAGAAATATATATTATGACAGATAAATTCTCCCAAACCATCCATATAAAAGTTCAAAATAAAATTAATAAATAATTTTATTCATTCATTTTCTTAAAATTTAGGATCCTTGGGGCTAAGCGATTAAATTAGTAATTACAAATCTAAGTTAACTTTCATGCGATAAATTTTATTTACTAAGTATATTATGTATTTTCTGTGATTAACAGGATTGCATCAAATATTTCAATTCGTAAACTTAAATAAAAAATAATTCCAGTTATTTTATATACTTAAATGTACAGAAAAGTTCTTGTAAGAAAATAACTTTTTGTCTACCTTAACTCTTTGACATACGATTACAGATCGTTAACCTTGTCAAGAACTGATTAAAATATGAAGCATTTTTTCACTGCTTTATCATTTTTAATAATATAAAAAAACTAACAAGACCTGTCAATCTTTTATAATATGAATGTCCTTCAAATGAATGTGTGACAAAATCTGACTTGTTCCACAAGAGCAAATTTAAATTGTTGCCTATACAAGAAGTTACTAACTTTTAATTAAATAACGATATTTATTTTTAATATATATATATTGAAAATAAACAATTTACGAAAAAATTTAAAAGCAGTGGACATATGCAACATTAAAATCAGGCCAATGCCATGAAATAATAAATATGACTGAATAAGACAAATATATACTCTTTTAGTCTATTAAATAATATTTAATGTATTACATAATATTAGGTAATATAATTTAATAACTTGACTATCAATTACGAGACAGACTTCTTTAATTAAATCATTTAAAGGTTAAAAACCTAAAGTTATCGTCTTGAAATAATCAAGTTTTGTTTTTAACGCATTACAAAAGTAAGCTTTGATAGTAAATTAGTTTTCATAACATCACAACAGAATTGTAACAAGTTTTTATAAAATTTATTTAATAATAATAATACACATATCTTTACCCAGTAAATTTAATTATTAAAAATTCAGATTATAGTATATAAACATGCAGGTACAATTAAGAATAACTAAGAGTGAATGAATAATGTTGTCAAAGAAACATATCAATGATACCTAAATTAAACAAAACAGACATATAATACAAAAACCAAACATACCTATCTGAAACATCTGTAAGGCAGACATAGTTGTTTCTAACATTTTTCAAACTGGCAAGAATCTGAGCAAAAGGTGTGACAATCAAATCTTCACAATGTCTAAAAAAACAAATAAAATAATTCTAAATTTATTTCGACAAGGCAGGTAGTCATGTTTAGAAATTAGTTACAATAGAAAACATTTATAAATTGAATGAAGTTAAATTATAAAACAAACCTAAGACGTTTCATCTCGTTTCTCTTATAGCATTTCGATTAAATTAAAATCACGATTTTCATCTCATTGAAAAAAATATATATTTGCAATGACTAAATATCTTCGAAACAACTTAAGATAAAATAAAACATAAAATTTCGTTTTAAAACATTAGAGGAAAACTGTTTTTAAATAAAAATAAAAGCAAGGGGAAAAATTACTACTACAACATACTAGCGTTCCAATGCATGCATTCATTTATCGACCAGTACTTATTTATAACGTTTAAACGTTTGCTTTAATACCTATGGCTAAAATAGCACGAAGTACGGGCAATAAAAGTCTACGTTTTAATTATAATCTATCAAGAACAGTCTAAAATATCATACCCTGAATACGCAAATCCAAGTTGAAGTTTCTCCCAAAAAGTTGATCTTTGTTTACATCGCAAAACACCGGCACTTAGCGTCCTTGGCAACGCTTCTTTGAACTCCATCTCTAGATAAGAAGTTTTATAAACTTAAACTTTAATTTAAGCTACTTCTATTGGTGCAAACGATTTCTCTGATGCAATGAGAGATGAAAACGGAGCTATCTTTGTAGCCATCATTTTGACAGATTTCAGTTTACTAGAAAATTTGGCACTATAAAGTTTGGTACGGAACTTCGATGTACTGTAGAGTAATTTAAACAAAGTGTCAGGTCAGACGTCATTACGGAGGTCAGATTTGTAGATAACCTTAAAAGATACCAATGGAGAATTGAAAGAGGCGCTTTATTACACAGGAAGCTTTGTCAATATTCTCACCACTTCTAGTGAGACAGTAGAGACTGACCGAGCGAAACATAGTTTGAGCTACGCAAGTGAAATAAAAGTAATTTAAGAGCTTCACATTCATTTCTTCTTATTCGTGATTGTCCCATTGATCCAGTTATTATGTTTAGGATGATCTTTTCATGATGATGTAAATTTTTCTTCATTGACATCTTACACCCTCGCACGTCTTCTACTTGCCTTTAAATAACGCCATCTATCGTTTAAGTTTATAACCACTCAATTGACTGCTTTATCTGCGTTATTATTGTAAACTACGCTTTTCAACTTTTAGTTCCTGACTTGGCTTCAGTGATATTTAAAAGTTTTATAAAGCTTAATGTAAACAAGAAATTCATTGCGAAATCGTTCCTTAAAAAAAATTATTCTTTTATTTTATATTTTTTAATGTATTTGTAATTTTAATAAATTTTTTACCTCTGGAATAAAAAAATTGATGTAAAATAATTATTAGAAAATTTTATTATTTTGGAATGCTAGAGTGATTGACAAAATTAAATTTAAAAATTGTTAAGACTTTATAATACCTTAAGCATAAATTTTTGATTTAAAACTTTTCGTTTTATAGGGAAATTTATGCTATTTAAGTTTATACTATACAAACCATCATAAATCGTAACTTCTTACGGCACTAAAGGCATGAAAATATGAATAAATGCTGAGAAAACATATCACCATTTCGATTTCTTTAATAAGATAAAAATACATTCCTAAAATGCTTTGCGAATTTTTATTTTCGAACATTAAAAGAAATTTTTATTATAGAACTAAAGTACTTTAAAATTTACAATACGTTTTTTTTATTATTTTCATTTATTTATTTTTAAATCGATCTCATCCCACGATAAAGCAGGGCAACAAGGTTACCAAATATGGATCTAAAAAATAGTTTAAGAAATTTTTAATCTCGAAACATTATTGAAGATCGAGACAGTATTTACATTACATTATTATACAACACTACAATATTATTCATTATTATTTTTATTAATTTTTATTAAAGAAAGAGTTTTTTTATTAAAAAAAATCACAATTCTTGTTTATTATTACTTTTATTTTACTTTAAGGCAAATCTCATCCCTGTAGGTTAAATGGGCTATCAAAAAAAAATTTTTTTTTTTGAATGAAGTTTTCATTTAAGAAAGCTGTGAATCAAATTTCAAATTATGCAAAATATTTTTTTAAAAAAAAACTTACATTTGGTATAATTCTAAACAAATGTTTAAAATTACATTAATATATTTCATTCTTCTAAATATAAGATTCAAGCAAAAAAAAAAAAAAAAACACTTTCAAAATTATTTTGGCAATCCATTGAAATATTCTTGTTTTCTATTAAAACCTTCAATTTTGGAATTTATGGGGCTCTCTATTTTTTCTCATAAACTTGCCTATTTTTCAAACAAAAAAAAAATTTACGATTACAATGAAATTTTTAAGTAAACATTTTAATAATGAAATTCTATTGTATAATATGCATAGTGATTCTCGGTTTTACTTCTTCTTCATTAGAGAAGAAGAAGAAGAAAAAAAAAGATAATACTTTGTCTCCTTGTAATATTGTTTAAATTTTTGTTCATTTTTTTTAAAAAGCATATGCCGTTAAAATAAATAAATTTCCAGAAGCTCTCATTTTTTAATAAATTAGAATGCTTGACATTTCCTTCAAGTAATCCATACAAGTTTTTCTTTTATGCATATTTATCTCTGGGAAAAAAATACACCTAATTTTTTTTCTTTATTTTATTCTCTAAAATTATGATTAACTTCATTAATTTAAAGATAATTAATCAAGTAACTTTGCTTATTCGAGATTATTTGTCTTATGATCAAAGCATTGAAATTTTTAGACTTTGAATAGATAAAAGCATTTTTGTTTGAAGCAATTATTCTCGAATATTAAACGGACGCTTGAGTAATCGATATCCATTTACTCAAACCACCTGAATTTGATAGAAAATCGAATGCAACAAAAATATTTAATTATATTTAAAGTTACATGAATCAATGGCAGAAAGTTGTTTTATTGATAAAAACTAAAGGATTTTGAAAAAAGATTATTTAAAACTAAAATCAAAAACCGGAAAAATTTATAATTAATTAGAAAAATAATACATTAGCTTTAATCGTAATGTGAGGATATGATGGAATACCACGCAAAAGCCAGATGTGGCTATACAGTGCCAAACATAGGATATAAAAGAAAGAAAGGTCAATGAAACATCTTTGGGTCAAGAAATCCGTATTTCTCTAAGTAAGATCTACTTGTGTCAAGAAGCTGATTTTGCATATAAGACGCGTCATGCTGAAATATGCATAACATATTTCAAACATATAAAAACAAAATTATTTTCTTATTTAATCCTTTTTGAATGAATGAAAAACATTAATATAGTCTGTAATCTTTTTATACCACAACCTTGAATTGAATGCAGAATAAAATCTACTTTTAGAGATTCTCTCTACATCTTCTGTAGCCTTGTAATTTTGAACCCAATCCAGAAAACAAGGGAATTCCTGGATCAAGTATTGGGATAAATATTTCCTTCATGGAGGACTTTTTGATGGAACTAACTCGCATTTGCGTTTCATGGTGAGGAAAACCACGAAAACCTTCCACGTTTAGCCTGATGGCAAGGGAACCCATGATCCGATCACCACTGAGGATATTCGTATCGACCAGCCATTGCTGGGATTCGAACCCGGTTCACCCAATTCGAAGGCGAACGCTCTATCCCCTGAGCTATCTTTTGAATGATTTATAAAAACTTATATTTTCATAATTTTCATCAAAATTATATTTAAGTATGTTAAATTCTTCAAGATATTACTCAGAGATTTAGAGCATTATATCAGTAGTAATAAAATGCCAAGAAGCATTTTAGTAAAGAGTTTGCCATTCCTCAATGCATTACACACACATTGCATTTTACGTTTAATACGCTTCACGATTGAACTATTATGGGAAGTTTATAATACATTTCTACAATTTCAAGTATATGTTAAAACAAAAAAAATCCTGACAAGTTAGGATAATTATTTAGATCTTCGGAATATGTATTCCTTTTTTAAGCAGTGTTGATAAACAACCTATCCAAGTAAAGGAATTTGAAACGATTTCATTTATCTTTGTATTCTTGCAATTTTGAATCTAACTCAGAAGACAATAGAACTCCAAAGTGAAATCACTTGAAAAATTCGTTTCCAGCGTTAATGTATAAATAGAATTAGTGTATACACTTCATTCTGTGTCAAAGCACTGACGATTCTATTTTTTCATAATACCAAAACAGCTGCCAGTCTAAAACGAGCTTTATTTGTGTTTTCTACTTTGTTTTTTAGCTTTAGATAGTTCTGTCTCATTTTCAACAGACAATGCTTAGCTAAATAGATACATCTCACAATTCGTCAAATACATCATACATGTACTGCATGAAATGTAACTTTAATGAAAATAATGTTTACCCTTGTTGTTTTTTATCTTTATACAAAATTAAAGAAAAACATAGTAATAAAAGCATTAGAATATAATATTTCATTGTTTGGATATAGGATTTTACTATCTAACTTTATTACACTCTGAAATCTTTTGTTCTTTCTTTTAAAGCAGCTATTTTAGAAAGATTTGTTTACTTAATGATTTTTAAATCAATATCACGATCTTACGTATATAATGTTGACCAATTTGATTTTATGAACTTAACAAGATAGATGATGAAAACAAATTTTTTAAGAGGATTTTCCTTGTTTAAGCCTCTATTGTTTGAAAAAAACAGCGTTTTTTTAAGTATAATGCACTTTAATTCTAGAATGTTTTAGTGAACCATTTGCTATTGTTCCTCTCAGATTGTCAAATTTAAAGACTCTCAAATGAAAGGTGAGTAATCTACGTTATCTGTTCTTAAAAATGAAATGAATTGTCATTTTTAAAAACTAATAATGAAAGAAATTGCTAAAAAACGCATGCCCAGTGATCGGAAAAACTACATTTTCTTTGTAGTTAACTACAACTAAAAATGTTAAAAAACGCATGCCCAGTGGTCGGAAAAACTAAATTTTCTTTGTAAT